AAGTTACAATTATGTCCCTCCTTGAAAACTTTAACTTGAAAACACTGCAGTCTTTCCACCCATGAACCATTTAAAGAAAATGAGCACTTTTTCCCACATTTTACTCTCACTCTCCCAGGTTCATTTTTCTGAAAATACAAATCCCTTTTCTCAAATACAGCATATTTAATCACAGCTTTCTTAAATTGCTTTCCATCTTCAAAATACATCCCTACTTCAAATTTAGGGACCTCAGACTCAGGGTTAAATGACCCATACCTTTTGCTTGCCCTTTTAGATGTCCCATCATCATCCTCAGACTCAGTCATGTAGCTATTGGGATTAGATGAGTCATACTCTGTGGAAACCTCCTCATTGTCACTGTCTTCAGCTCTGGTTCCCCCCATTTGTGTAGCAGTGTGATCAGATGCAACCTCATTATCAAATAATCCTTCATTTTCTGTCTCTTCATTTTCACTATCATATGTCTCAGATGAGTCTTCCATCAATGAGTCATCTGTGTCACCTTCTTCTGGCTTCCATGAATAATTTGTCTCTTCACACCTATTTCTTCCGCTTCATCTAACCCATGCTCCACAAATATGTCACACTTACCACAACTAGTAGCCAGACATATCAAATCTAGGGTTGACTTATCATCAAACAGCTCTCTTAAAGATTTCATACATTGGCTAGGTTTTTTGTAATACAAAGCCTTAATGTTACCATACCTTCCTGTTTTTAAGCACTTCATTAAATAAGGATAGCAAATCAAATCTGGGTCTATGCGTAGCACATCAACTTCACCACCAACGTACATTGATTCAGGAACACACTTAAAATTGCCTCCATGGTGAATTATAAGTTCCACCTTGTCGGACATGCTGCACATTTGAAAAGATTCAAATCAGACTAAGGGCTGATGGAACCAGTAAGAAACAGTACAAGTGAAATCATAACAAAGTTAACCTGGACTATCTGTTATTCAACTCGACGAAGAAAAATGGATGAACAGCCTTGAAGAGCGCTTAGATGGTTTGCTTCTGATACACATGCGAATTCGAATTACGGAAGGAATTAGGGATAAGCGGGAAAGGATAGAGTCATTAAGTGATGTGGAAATTTTAAATCCATGTCAGCAATGGAACCTCAATGTGCGATGTCCACGTGAGCGAGCAACGGGCTAACCGGGAATCATCCGGTTATGTAGACCTAATTGACGGGATTTTCATTGTTGGCGGGTTCAATTGAGGGTTTCCAAAGTACGGGGACTCCATTGACGGATCGCGCATAGTAGGAGGGCGCAATTGACAGTTTTCCCCTATTCATATGGTCAACTTAAATTACTCTTAATCTTATGTTTTATATATCAAATTTTTATCAAATTTATATTTCTTTTATCAGCCTTTGTAGCAGTTTTAATGTAGTTTCTCAATATGTAAATTTTATTTACTAAAAGTAATCTGAGTATGAACAGGGATCGAGTTGCTTTATCGTCAGTCAAGCATCGTAATCCGAAATGGGAAGTTAATTCTGGGACGGAGGTAGTAATTTTTTATTCTTTCATATGAGACCAATATTGCATATGTAAAAATAAAAATAAATCTAAAGACAATTCATGTATGATTTCAGGTATGGTTGGACTCGGGTCGGGCCACCCGGACCAAACCCGGTGACTACCCGGGCCGGTCCCAGGTCCACCATTCCTGAACCGCTGGCCCGCCCGGGCCTAGGCCCGACCCGGACCCGGCCCGGACCCGAGTCCACCCCTAATTTCAGTTTTAAAAAATTTCTTGAGTGGATCAAGGTTCTAAAATTAAGATTTCAGATTCTATAGCACAACTTTATGCTACAACTATGGGACATTTAATTTTGTTTATTTGCTAAAAGTGTCACTAGAAAATGTTTGTGATAGTTATTTATTTTGTTGATTCAATTTGAGTTGTTTGATAATCTGCAAACTCAAATGACGACTTACATTTAAAATTAGAAATACGAAGGATAGCAGCATCGGCTAATAAGCAGTTCGTATACCATGCAACCGTCCCACAGTGTGCATGGTATACCATCCCAAATTGCAGTGGGCTTTGTTATCTTTTATTTCTTCTTTTCTTAAAAATGTTAATAATTTTTTTATTTTTGATCCGATTTTTATAAAATTTATAACAATTTTTTTTTTCATGATCTTCCAAATGAGATCAATATTGCCTATGTAATTTTAACATATTTACATTTGCGTGTAAAAATATGTAACTTTACGTTTTAAAATATGTAACTCACGTTCAGTCAGGCCAAATGCAATTCGTGTGTATAAATATGCAACTCTACGTGTAAAAATATGTAACTTTACGTAAAAAATATGTAACTCGCGTTCAGACAGATCAAATGCAACTCGTGTGTATAAATATGTAACTCTCGTGTATAAATATGTAACTTTACGTGTAAAAATATGTAACTTGACGTGTAAATATATGTAACTCGCGTTCAGGCAGGTCAATTGTAATTTGTGTGTATATATATGTAACTCGTGTGTAGAAATATGTAACTTTACGTGTAAAAATATGTAACTTCACATATAAAATTATGTAACTCACATATATAAATACCTAATACGATAAATTTTTTATATACACAATTTTAAGATAAATTGTGATTTACACAATTATTTTTCTGTATTAAATTTAGTTCGGTTTTCCTTATAATCCAATAATCATTTATATTATAGTTCCATAATTTGTTAAAATTACATAAGCAATATTGGTCTCATTTGATAGATCATGAAAAATAAAAAAATTTAATATAAAGTTTATAAAAATTAGATATGAAATAAAAAAGTTATTACAATTTTTAACGATAAAAGGAATAAAAAATAATGGAACCGGGCCACAATACTCCGTCGTTTTGCAACCAGGCGCACCATTCTCATGGTGCGCCGGTTGCACGGTAATCTGCGGCTAATAAGCCGGAAGGCTGCGTGGGACCCGCAATATAAAAAAAGAATCTTTTTCTACATTGCTATAACTTTTATACAACAATTCTTGGTGTACACCTTCTTATACACATCAGTACACCTCGTGTCTGTGAGAGTTTTTTTTGTCTATGAATCTCAATCCACGGACAAAAACTTGCTTGTTTTGTCTGTAGAATTTTGTAGAATTTTTCACAGACAAAACAAACCAATTTTTGTCTGTGGACTGGGATTCACAGACAAAAAAAACTCACAGACACGGGGGTGTACTGATGTGTATAAGAAGGTGTACAAAAAGATATTTTGACTTTTATATTAGTGTTTAAATTTTTCAAAAAAAAATATTGCAATCCATAATTTCTTATTATACTTTAGATGACACCAATATTGTATATATATAAATAAAAATAAATCTTAAAATACGATTGATAGAGGCTTTTAAGTTCAATATTTATCTTAAGTGGATCCAAGTTCTAAAATTAAGATATGATTGTATAGTGCAATTTTATGCTGCAGTTAAAAGACATTTTATTTATTGGCTGAAACAATTTATTTTAGCACATGTGCTAAAACATTTTATTTCAAACAATAACTCAAATTGAATCAACAAAATAAATAACTATCACAAGCATTCCCCGATGCCACTTTTAACAAATAAATAAAATTAAATGTCCCATAGTTGTAGCATAAAGTTGTGCTATAAAATCGTGAAATCTTAATTTTAGAACCTTTGATCCACTCAAGAAAAGTTTTGAACCTAAAATCATACATGAATCGTGTCTTCAAATTTATTTTTATTTTTATATATGCAATATTGATGTCATATGAAAGATAATAAAAAATTATGAATTTTGATATATTTTTTATAAAAATCAGATTATAAATTAAAATATTTATATTAATATTAAAAAAAGAGAGGTTTTTCTTAAATTGGGGGTCCCACCTTCACAAGCTTACTGCCTGCCATTGCCCATTTGTTGTTGTTGTTCCCTACTTCCGGTCCCACGCATAAGTCGTTAACTTAGTTGGCGGCTTGCATTAATTTGAAAAAAAAAAAACTCCAATACATGATTAGTGAAATTCAAAAATTTGGAGCTATTAAAGAATGAAGAAGTATGAATCGTGATGTTGATATCAAGTAAATGTAAACAGACTTTGTATATACTATATACGTATAAGAGTCATAAAGCGCATAAGGCATCACAGGTAATAAATACAATAAAATATGATTCAATTAAGAGCTTGATTAACATGTTCACATCAACTTGTAAAGTGCTTGCGTATCTTCAAGAACATTAATTGCCCAAAAGTGAATTCTTGGCCAGACTGCAGAAGTTTGTAGTGTATATAGACATTTTTCACGTTTTGAATTTGTGTTCAAGTTACATTTGATGAACAAATTTATTAGAATAACGATTATTCTATCTCAAGGTCTTCAAAAAAATTTATTGGATATCTTGGTAGCCATGAGTTTTGCTCAAAAAATGAAATTAATGCACCGGACTTGAATTCTAATTTCTATATATATGGTTGGTCGTTGTCGAAAAGAAACTACAGTTGAGCATCATTATCACTTTGATGTTTTCAATGAGGTAATGTACTTTTATTGATGGAGTTAAGGACCCGATTTATTGATAAATCAGTGGAACTCCTTTCTTTGAGTGCTTCAAAGGATCTAAAAAAATCATGAGTCATTCAATGCCGATGCTATTTGTACTCTTGCAAGAAAGTTCTATCCCGAAGATTTTGGTAATCAGGACATTCGTGCTTTGAAATTCGAGCTGCAACACTATGTTCATGATGTGTTTCATGATACAAAGTTTTTTTTGTTCATGATGTGATTCATGACACAAAGTTTTTAGTATCTACACTTGTTGAATTATGCGAGCAAATGACTAAGAGCAAAAGATATGATTCATATGTTATGATGACCAGATCGATTCGCTTTTTATTCATCTCATTGTTTCTAGTGCAACAGTAGAATGATCATTTTCTGTCGTGAAACTTCCAAGGACAACGCTCCGCAATAAAATGGATGATGACTTTCTTGTTGATTGCATGATACTTTATATTGAAAAAGACATTACTCTTAATATAGATACAGACTGTATTGTTGATGAGCTTTTTGTTTCAAAGTCTCATCGAGAACAAATTTAGGGGATAACTTTTATATTTGATTTTTTGCTTATTTTGAAAAAATTTCAATGTATTATCAATTAAGTTTTTCAGTCCACCCCAACATTGAAATCCTGGATCCACATCCACCCATGTGTAAACTTAATCACATTTATCTTATATATGCAAGTTGGGGTACCAGAGTCACACTCCTCCACAGTTTAAGCTATTTGAATTATTTTTCCCCATGAGAAACGAAGACAATCTGAAGATCATAGTGATTGAAGGGAATGGATGGGGAAAAGAGATGAAGACCATCCGAACTTTCTTACTTTCATTTCTTGCACAAAACTTCATGAATGAGTTGGTTGAGGAGCTGGAATAATTCCCAACCTTCTGCGAACATCCTCCAAATCTTCATCAAAGTGTCGCTCATAATACACACACATCAAGTCGGTGCATCTCAAACCAGCTTTGAGTGCCCAAGGGAAGTAATGCTGATAGAACAGTGTCCTTTGTCTCTCAGTGAATCTTGCTGTACCACCCACCACAGACATCATACACATGGGGAGCATCATCTGTTCAAACTCTATCACCTTAAGTGCCGTTTCTCCAATCATATTGGTGGGAAGGCCGAAGAGGGTGTGCCAGAAGTCATGAACCTCGCGGGCACGCATGGCCACATAAGCTAATTCTTCTGATTCCATGAACCGAACAGGCGGCCGATCGTCAGGGGAGAAGTTTCTAGATCCCATGAACTTGGCATACGCAGCTCCAAATGTGTTGTCTGGTAGTTCCCATGCATGGCCCACTTGGGAAGAGATTACTCGAGGACGCTCCGATAAGACTACCTGAGAGAGGGCATAACAAACAGGTTGAATTCAAATAGCTTTACTTATAGACAAATCAAAGATTAAAGAGAAATGCCAAAAGAAGAAAAACACAATGTGGTCAATCTAATAAATCTAGTACCAAAACAAACACATCAACAGATCAGAAAATTGAAAGCTTATAAAAGTGCTTTATTATGTCTTAGGGGCTACAATGGTTGGGCCATGAGAGTGCTACAACAACAACAACAACATCCAAGCCTTAATCCCAAAAGAATTTGGGGATGGGCCATGAGAGTGCTGTGGATAAAAAAAAATTGCACTTATACTTTCAGTCTTTCACATAAAAAATTAATTAACTTTTGCTCCCCTGTTGCCCCCCCGGACATTTATTTCTTTCTTCCAATGCATGAATATGGGCTTTTTGTCAGTTTTGATCTTACTGACCACAGCCCAAAACCAGTTGTAGATCGTTACTGATTCTTGTTGAAACCCTAGTTGTATTGGGCTTAGCCCATCTTGCATAGTAACCCTAGTGTTCTAGTTTTAGTTATAGATATAGCTACTTGTATAGTTCTTAATATCAAGATTCAATATAATGAAATACACTTTATATATTTCACAAATACACTTGATATATTTCACATGGTATCAGAGCCATTTATATGGCACACCATAGTTAGGACACAGTATTTTTCCGGCGAGTATTTCCGGCGTGTACAGTAGCCGCGCTAGGCGTTGGAGCACTTCCGGTAGTGATATATCAAATCTACACCTACCCCCTTGCTCAGCGCACCATCGCGACCAACCCGCCGGAAACCGTACCAGCTTGGAAGCATTCAAAAAAATCCAAAAAAAATCCAAAAACAAATCAAAAAAAAAATGTCAAGTTTCTCTTCGTTTGCTTCAGTTCCAATCATCACCACCGATCGACTAGCTGGAAGTATTAATTATCAATCATGGGCTATTTCTGTGGAGATGTGGTTCAAAGGTCAAGGTCAAATTGATCACTTGAATGTCGATGCAAATACGATCAAAGACAAGCGGAGTGAATGGGAGAATATGGATGCCTTATTGTGTAACGTGTTATGGCAATCTATGGATCCAAAACTGCATCCTACCTATCAATCATACCGCACTTGCAAACAGATTTGGGAAAAAGCTAAAGCCAACTACACAAATGACATCCAAAATATGTTTTCCTTTGGTTCCAAAATTGCTACGCTCAAACAACAGGATTTGGACGTTCAAGAATTTCTAGGACGGGCTGAGGCATTACTGTTTGAATATAATAATATTCAACCTATCACTGAAGATAAGGAGAAACAACTCGAGCAAAGACAACAACTTGTTATGGCTTTAACCTTAGCAGGTTTTCGCCTAGAGATGTTATCAATACGTGAGCAAATTCTCTCCAGTTCTTCTGTTCCTACAATGTCTGAAGCATTTGGCAGAATTCTTCGAGCTGCCCCAATATCTGCTGACGCATCCTCAGGTGGTTCTATTATTCTTGCATCTCAAGGTTCAGGGCATGATGGGGGAAATAAAAAAGGATATCCACGACGTAATCGCCCCAAGTGTGATTTTTGTCATAGGATGGGTCATACTAAAGATAGGTGTTGGAAGTTACATGGTAAACCTTCCAGCTCTGCCAATGTTGCTCTAATCCCGCAAGTTCCAGTTGTGCTGCCTCCAGACGAATATGAGGCTTATCAGAAATTTAAGAAGTCCACTCTGACTTCATCAACATCAGGTAATTCTACAGCATGTGTGTCAAACACAACTGGCTCGTGGATCATTGACTCAAGTGCTTCCGACCATATTTCTGGTAATCCCCATCTTTTATCCCATATTACCAAACACCACAACCTTTCATTGATCACCCTAGCCAATGGTCTTCATACCTCGGCTACGGGTATTGGGCAAGCACTCCCACTTTCATCCTTACCATTAGATTCAGTTTTATATGTTCCTCACAGCCCTTTTAACCTTGTCTCTGTTAGCAAATTACACGCTCTCTTAATTGTTCTATAACCTTTAATGCTGACTCTGTGACTATGCAGGACCGTTGTACGGGGAAGATGATTGGCATCGGGCGTGAATCTCAAGGCTTGTATCACCTCCAACCTCTTGATCCAGTTGTTTGTGTGTCCGCTGAACCAACACTTTCCTTACATAATCGTTTGGGTCATCCCAGTCTCTCCAAATTTCGACGTATGGTCCCCGGTTTCTCAAGTATTTCCTCTTTAGATTGTGAGTCGTGTCATCTTGGAAAGCAACCTCGTCAGTCCTTTCCAAGACGTGTCAATAACAGGGTTGCGTCCTCTTTTGATTTAGTTCATACAGATGTATGGGGTCCGTATCGAGTCAATTCTACCCTAGGATTTCGTTATTTTGTCATTTTTGTGGATGACTTCTCTCGTCACACGTGGTTGTTTTTAATGAAAGAACGTCTTGAATTGTTTCATATCTTTCAAAAGTTTTGGGCTGAAATTCACACCCAATTTGGTCGTTCTATCAAGATTATACGTAGTGATAATGCTAAAGAATTTTTTACCACTCCCTTTAATCAATTCATGACATCGCGATTATACACCCCAACAAAATGGGGTTGCTGAACGCAAGAATCGACATTTAATTGAAACTGCCCGTACTATGTCGTTACATTCACATTCACCGCCTCAGTATTGGGCAGATGTCGTTCTCACTGCATGTCATCTCATTAACAGAATGCCTTCTTCGGTTCTTTGTAATGCCATTCCCCATTCTATTTTGTTTCCATCTCAGGCACTGTTTCCATTACCACCTAATGTGTTTGGGTGTGTTTGCTTTATCCATGATACCACACTAGGAATATCCAAAATGTTTGCTAAGTCAATCAAATGTATCTTTCCTGGATACTCCCGTCTTCAAAAGGGGTATCGTTGTTATTCCCCGATCCTTAGAAAACATTTTGTGTCTGCTGACGTCACTTTCCTTGAGTCCTCATTTTATTACCCATCTCCCCTCCATGATACCCCCTCCCGTGTCGACTTTCTCCCATATCTCAGACCCATCTCCACCCCCCTTATCGATGCTCCTATCGACCCATGTCCACCAATAACACGTCCTTTACAAATGTATCAACGATGCCCTCGCCCTCCACCCAACGAGTCCTCTGAGGTCACGCCTGTTGATTCCCCTACTCCGGATCCCTCCGCAAAGGTACATGCTCAACTTTGAATCCTCATCCCATTTATAACTTTTTAAGTTATCATCGTCTCTCCACTCCTTACTTTGCCTTCACTTCACATTTATCTGATGTCTGTATTCCTAAAACCACACATGAGGCATTATCACACCCAGAGTGGCGTCGAGCTATGTTAGCTGAAATGGAGGCCTTACATTCTAGTGGGACATGGGACTTAGTTCCCCTTCCTATTGGAAAATCAGTTGTTGGGTGCCGCTGGATATACACAGTCAAAGTAGGACTAGATGGAAACATTGATCGTCTTAAAGCACGCCTGGTTGCAAAGGGGTATACACAAATCTATGGATTAGAGTATTAGACTACACCGACACATTTTCTCCTGTTGCAAAAATTGCATCTGTCCGTCTAATCTTATCCATGGCAGCAATGAGCCACTGGCCATTATTTCAATTGGATATCAAAAATGCATTTCTCCATGGTGATTTACATGAGGAGGTTTATATGGAGCAACCACCAGGTTTTGTTGCTCAGGGGGAGTCTGGTTTGGTTTGCAGATTACGTCGTTCTTTATATGGCTTGAAACAATCCCGGCGTGCATGGTTTGGGAGATTTAGTGTTGTTGTTCGTGGTTTTGGCATGACTCAGAGTGATGTAGATCATTCCATATTCTATAGACATTCTGCAGGAAATAAATGTATATTTCTTGTTGTATATGTTGATGACATTGTCATTACAGGTAATGATGACCAAGGAATTGCCCAACTCAAGGAATATCTTTTTAGCAAATTTCAAACAAAAGACTTGGGAAAACTAAAGTACTTTCTTGGTATTGAGGTTGCCCAATCAAGAAATGGAATTGTGCTCTCTCAGAGGAAATATGCATTGGATATTCTTGAGGAAGCAGGGATGTTGGATTGTAGGCCAGTGGATACACCAATGGATCCAAACGTCAAACTCGTGTCAGAACAAGGTGACCTCCTTCCCAATAAAGAGAGATATAGAAGGCTTATTGGGAAGTTGAACTATCTTACCATCACAAGACCAGATATTTCATTTGCTGTTAGTGTGCTCAGTCAATTTCTTGATAAGCCATGTGATGGACATTGGGACGCAGCTATCCGAGTCTTGAGATACATCAAGAAAACTCCAGGACAAGGATTACTCTTTGAAGATCGAAGGCACCATGACATTGTTGGATATTGTGATGCCGATTGGGCTGGATGTCCAATGGATAGACGTTCTACTTCTGGATATTGCAGTTTGATTGGTGGAAATTTGATTTCTTGGAAAAGTAAGAAACAGGATGTGGTTGCCAGGTCTAGTGCAAAAGCAGAGTACCGTCCAATGGCCCTTGCTTCATGTGAGATATTGTGGTTGAAGCATCTCCTCCAAGAATTAAAATACGGAAGCATGAAACCCGCCAAGCTAATGTGTGATAATCAAGCTGCAATGCACATTGCTTCCAATCCAGTGTATCATGAGAGGACTAAACACATTGAAGTTGATTGTCACTTTATTCGAGAAAAAATCACAAATGGACATATTACTACTCATTATGTCAAAACAACAGATCAATTTGCAGATGTTTTAACCAAGTCTCTTAGAGGACCTAGGATGCAATATATTTGTAACAAACTTGGTGCATATAATTTATATGCTCCGGTTTGAGGGGGGGTGTTGAAACCCTAGTTGTATTGGGCTTAGCCCATCTTGTATAGTAACCTTAGTGCTCTAGTTTTAGCTATAAATAGAGCTACTTGTATAGTTCTTAATATCAAGATTCAATATAATGAAATACACTTTATATAATTCACAATTCTCAAGAACTCTTTGTCCTAGAGGATTCAAGGGTTACAAACATGAGAGTTGCTCAAGATGATAAGTTTATGCAACAGTTTCTGGTTGGTTTTGGATGTATAACTAACTGAAATGACCCAAAAAAAATTCCATGGAATCTGCAGATCATTCACCAGAAGGGAAAATTTGAACAAGGCGAAAATTGGAAACTTTCTGTTTTGAAAAGAAATACTTATTAATTAAGCACACTGCACACCTACTATAACAAATAGCACCACTATGTGATCCCACTGCATGCATCACCTGTCAAAAAATTAGTGCATAAGATGTGATTCCACTGCATGCATCAGATCTCAAAAGCGCAAAATATTCGGGGGAAATATAACTCTTACAAATGAACGAACCAAAACAGCCCCAAGACACACTCCGTAGTCCATGGTTGTGTCCTACATTTATTTTTAAATGTTGAGTATTCTTTTTTGGGAAGTTTTTTATTTCTTGCACCACTTCCTAATTACACAAGCTTTGTCATTATGTTTACCGTTACTTTATTACGTAAATACTGTTACTTCTTCAGCTTGATTTGCTTGCACTTTCTACTTCTTTTATCACCTCTCCTACTATTCACTACGCCGAGTCACTGACGATTTTGATCTTAAACTCAGTGCAAGCCCTCTAGGAACAATTAATTAAAATGGAGGGAGTATATCCTCATTCCTTGGTATCCTATACTGAATATTATCTTAGTAGCACTTTATGCACAGATTCGACTATTATAGCATTCACGAAGTCCACCGTAAGCAAACCAAGATGGCGACTTGCACATATATCGCCATGTTTTACCCTTGAAGATTAAGGCTCTGTTTGAGTGTTGGGATTTCAAGGGGTTTGAACTTTGAAGAGGGGGAGTAGTTATTTTTCATTGTAAAATTTTAAAAATAATCGATCTAAATTGATAAATTTGAATAAACTCAGCATGACAGTAACTCATTTATTACCATATCCCAATAAAAATTAAATAACCCCTCCTACCCCATACCTCCAAAACCCAACTCCCAACTCCCAAGTCCCAACCACAGACCGAGTAAAGAGGACTGCAATAATTGGTCAAGAAGCTTTACCCTCCCCTCGGGACTATTCTTCATCCTTTGCAAAACCCTTTCAAAAGCAGGTTTTCCAGTGGTCTCCCCTAAAGCTGCAATCAGGTCAGCTCTTCGTGGATCCAACAATGCCCCCACTGCTGAACCAAATGCAACAGCAGCCCGCTGCCAAACCTTGAGTTGAACATGAGAACCACCTAACATTTCCACCTACTATATCTGACCAGAGAAAGAAACAATTGAAATTGCATAATTGACTGTCAAATCTAATTAGCTAAATTGTTTTCTTTCTTCCATATCTTTTGAATGACAACAAATAAATGAAGTAGGGTGTGTGAGAAACTGAAAGTAGAACTACTGAACTATAAGAACTACTGAACTATACAAAGAGCAAGAGCTCAGCTGAAAAAATGAACATATACGAAGCTGTTAAACTGATATTCACCAGTACACAAAAAAAAGAAAAATCATGTCTTTTTTGCACAAAATATCAAGAAATGTACCATGGATGTGAGAAACATGTCCACCGGAAACAGAATGAAATTACTAACAGAAAGGCATAAAACTAACCGAAGGAGGTTTGCAGCGCATAATAGATAGGTCAGGCAACAATAATAACCGGCTGATAAAGAACCAATAAAGAATTGCTTATGAACATGACATACAGGGCCAGGTCGGTATGTGAGGAGGTCTAGGGGTGGATCATTTAAAATGGGCCTAATCTTTAAAAAAATGCAAAACCCTTTTATGTCTAAACTAACATGCATCATAATAATATTTCAAGACCTTTATAATAAGAGAAAAGACTTGAATTCGTTAAATTAAACATAGTAGAATCATGGTTTCAAAATAACAATGTATTTCTGATGTTATGGTCATTTATGACCATATGCCCAAACCTAATACTCCCTCCGTCCCGAAAAGGTTGGCCAAATTTCCTTTTTTGGATGTCTCAAAAAGATTTGCCATTTCGATTTAAAGTAAGGAACATGTGGCTAAAATTAATTCTCTCTCCTCTGCACAAATTTCAACCACACAGTTTTTACTTTATTAATCAACGTGAAAGTCAACTTTGGTAAACCTTTTCGGGACGGAGGGAGTATTTAAAATGATGTTTAACTACAAGCACTTAATTAACTTAGTAAACTATCCCAAACACCACACCAGTTGTAATCTAAAATTTGGTATGATGTGTATGGATTTGTTACTTCAATTATCAGGCATTATCAAATAACAGCAAAGCTATATATGAAATTTTGATTTTAAATATTTATTTAACTCCAAAAGATTTCTCTGTGTTAGGTATTAGCTTTTGAACTTATCTATCTATATACAAACCAAGGTGGAAAAATGGCCAAAATTCCCTCTCAAAAACGTCACTATCACATGGTAAACAAATTGGTATTGATTGCATTGGAGCTTTACAAAGCTCTACCCTAAAGGTCTAAAAGATTAGCCAAAGGTTGTTTAATTTACTCCATACTCCTTTCGTCCCGAAAAGGTTGGCCAATTTTTTTTTTCGATGTCCTAAACAGATTTGCCATTTTCATTTAAAGTAAGGAATTCATTTTCATTTTCATTTTCATTTACCTCAGTGCCGCAAAGGCTCCCACTAAGGTGGGGTAAGGGGGGTCGGATGTAAGCAGTCTTACCCCTGTACTAAAGCACAGAGAGACTGTTTCCGGATGACCCATAGTGAAAATCGCATCCAAAATTGCATGGACTGACGGCTGCTCCATAACAAAGAAGCGCGGACAGTTTAGTGAGCCATTTTGCTTTATTCCATCATAATCTCAAGCCAAAAATCTTTGACTCCATTGCAAATGATGGAAATGATTTAAAGTAAGGAATATGTGGCTAAAATTAATTCTCTCTTCTCTGCACAAATTTCAACCACACAATTTTTACTTTATTAATCCACATGCAGTGAAAGCCAACTTTGGCCAACCTCTTCGGGACGGAGGGAGTATAATGCATTGCATCGGCTTTGTGTCTTTGGAAGAAGAATTGAAAGTACAAAGGCTGCATACCCACTGCTTAGAAACTCTAACAAGCTCGACTCTAATATGACTGCTATGAAAGTATAAAGGTATTGCTTAGATACCCATTACCAACGTTTGTTAAAGAAACTCCTTAATTGCATGGTTAATAAAACGTTTTTCTTGATTCATTGTTTAAAAAATGTTTTTAAGAGACTTTATACTTCCTACGTGCTAATTAAAATTGTCTGGAATTTTAAATTTTAAAATTTGTCTAGAATTGATTAAATATTTGTATAAGAATGAGACAATTATTTAAACAATATTTTAATAAGGTAATTCGAGTATATTTGAGAAAAAGTTTTGATGAGTATATAATAAATTGGGACGTTGACGATAATTGTTATGTTTAAGATGTAGGTAGTATTTTTTAATATTTGGTGATTAGTTTGTCATTTGTAAGGGTTAATTGTTTCGTGAAATATAAATGAGAACATTTAGTCGGTGTATCTAAAGAAGACAAGCGAGAATCTTAGAACCCGTTTGGTAACACTAGAATCGGCCGAATCGGCTAATTCTGTTGAAATTTATAAAGTTCTGACCGAAATGATTGTATTGGTCAATTCTACTGATTTATGAAAAAATATATAAAATATATTTTAGTAATAAAATAAAGAAAAAATATATATGAAAAATAGTTAAAATGGTCATCTACAGTAATTTCGGCCAATACAGGCAGAAAAGTAAATTCACCCTTATTTTTTTTATTATTACACAATGCAGCGAGCGAAATAAAAAATTACGTGTTTGGTTAAAAAGTTGGCTGATAAGACGAAAAACAGAGTCACCAAACGGGCTCTTAAGCTCGAACTGATGGGGTACTTTATACAAAAGTGGCGAATCTTTTGGTATAATTAAAGTAGGAGAGTTGCCGATAATGGCATTGATATACGGGGTGTAGGAAAGAGAATATATAAATAAGAGTAAAGTAATGAAAAAGTAGAAATAGAAAGTAATTTATTATTAAAAAATAAAAAAAGTTAAAGGTAAAAAGTGAATGTATAAAGGTATTTTGATAGGGAAAAAACTTACTAACAACAGAAACATGGACAAATAAAAAAACATCTCAAATCAGAATAAGGGATTAATAAAAAAAGTATGGAGTATAATTTTATCTTCTATTTAAAACAACTAAATTTCACTACTCTATTTTTTTCTAAAAGATACTCCGTATTATAATGGAATTTAAAGTTCTTTCATTAATTCTACAAATTGAGATAACTAAACTTATATCTCTTAGGCTACGTGTTGCCTTTCATTTTAGACAATGTTTATAGTACTAAAAAAAAGTAATGATACTTCCCGTCCCATTTTAGTTGTCAATACGTTCCTTTTTGGATTGTGTCAAACTGAATTTTCAATTTCTCTTTTTGATAAGAAATACACGGTTCTTATCATTTAACTTTATTTTACTAAAGTTAATTCTCAAACACAAATTTTATTTTTTAACCATTTTATTAATAATTGTGTCAAACTAAAACAAGACAATCAATATGAACGATAGCACTACTTATAAATAGGTTTAAATATATGCATGATGTATGTTCGCCCATACATATGTTATACTCCGGTTTATATAAATTCAAATGAAAAGTATTTTGGTAATGAGAGCCTATATAGAGAGTGTTTTATATATCGCTTCAAAATGTGTGAGTTAGATCAATTTTGATGCAGTAATTCAGTTGTATTTTAAAAAGATAATACTCCATATTTGATAACTTCATGTTCGTGCAACGCACGGGTGATAATCTAGTAATGTCTAAAAACAAAACAAAAAAGCTACAAAACTCAACAATTTGCCACAATATGTCAAGATTGTTGTGTGCCAAAAAAATCATTCGATACAACTTTGTTACATTGATGCCATTTTTCTTCATTGCAAAATGGTCTAAATTGATCATCTCTGCATCTTTATTTTACTATGAAATACATTAGTATTTGTTATAGACATCCATTAGCATTTGTAATAGTAGCAAGACAAACAAATACTCGCTCCGCCCCATATAAAGGTTCTCACCTTCCTTTTTTTGAGTCCCATATAAGGTTCCCATTTCTATTTTAGGAAACAATAAATACTCTTACATGACAATCTAATCATTAAATATTAAAAATAATGCATCTACAACATCACAATTATCACCACTAACCTCATTATATTATATGCATATCAGAATTAATTCTCAAAATATACTCAAATTACCTTATTTAATTATTGTCTAAATAATCGTGTCGTTTTGAAATGGGAACCTTTAAACGAGACAGAAGTAATACTTTTTTTAAATGGTTACATCATGCCTAACAATCTTGTTTCTTTCTGTAATCCTCTCCTATGGTAAAAGACAACAAAATGACAAATTATAACACTAACACTCAATTGATAACAATCAGGCAATCAACAATTAGGAATATGAACTAAACATTAACTAACATTCAATAGCGAACAAATCAACTAATTATTTATCAACTATTCATTTATAAACATTAGACAACTTAGAGCACTATATACAAATGATTAAATACTTGAATGAAACTTTGACTAACTATATATTTTTATTGAAATTATTTACTCCCTCTATCTCAAAAAAGAGTTCCCGGTTTGACTTGGCACGCTTATTAAGAAAGTGTGAATAAAGTGAAAATATATGGTTGTGTTTGAATAAAAAAAAGTAAATGAAGAGTAGCCGCACAAAACTTTCCAAAAAGGGAAATGGAAAGAATTTTTTGGGACATCCCAAAATGGTAAGTGGGAAGAATTTTGTGAGACGGAGGTAGTAATTGAATGAAATCAATTAATAAACTAATCAAATAATCAACTTTAAAACTTTGACTAACTATATATTTTTATTGGAAATTATTTATAATATAAAATGTTATGAGAATGTTCTTTGTTATTTGTTAAATGCAGGAGTGTAAAATTTATAACTTCCATAATATTATAGTAATCGCAATCATGATCTAAACTTTAAGCGGTGTCAAAGTTTCAAGGGATGAGGTAGTATAACCTATGTTGCACGGAGGAAACAGGAAACATGAAACGTTAAGAATTGCTCAAAAAGGGCTTGTTTGGAGAGTTTCCAAAGAGTTTCCTTCGAGTTTCCTGAAAGTTTCCGTGCTACATAGAGTATAATTATTAATCAATAAAAGAAAAAGTATAAAAGTCTAAAACAATTAAGGCACGGCCGCACGGGAGGAGTACCTGAAGCCTGTGTGCTGCTGTAGTGTTGTGCTGGAGCTGGAAGCCTGGACTGAGAAGCCGTGATTAGCCGTCAAGGTGAGATTCCGATTTCCGAGAAGGGGGGGAAAGGGCAGGGCGCAGGCGGGCAAGCGTCGGCCTTCGGCAATAGCGGTCCGTGGTCAACGAGTTGGGCCAGTCGCCAGTAGGCGTTCCTAGGTAACTTCTTCCATCACGGCAGGGGTGAAGCCAGAAAGTTACAATAGGGTGGACTGAGAAAATAATTTGAAAGACACATACGTAATAATACGTCAAGTCGTCAACACTTTAAATATTCATCAAAACATCATTTAAGTTGTGCCCTATGCGACTTTAAATTACTACCTCCGTCCCATTAGAAGGTTCCCGTCCACTATTTGCATGGTCAACTTAAATCATTTTTAATCGTTTACTTTATAAATCAAATTTTTATCAAATTTACATTTTTTTATCAGCCTTTGTAGTGGTTTTAATGTAGTTTCTGAATATATTGATTTTATTTAGTAAAACCAATCAGAGTGTGAACAGGAATTAAGTTGCTTTATCGTCAGTCAAGAATCGTAAACCGTTCACGGGAACCTTCTAGCGGGACGGAGGGAGTATAAAATTGATCAATAATAAAACCTACATCTATATTATTGACAAAATTTTGTTCAATGTAGATCATCGATGAATCTTCAAGAAAATTATCTCTCATTTTGTTACGAAGTGCCATCTTCACATGCTTCATTGATGAAAATGTTTTTTCGTAGTAGCGTTAGAATAAGGAGGATCAAAACAAGATGAATTAATCTTGTCAACATAACATAAATTTCTGATTTCCCGCTCTCCGTCAAATATTGACATAACTCAACAAGTGTCAAAACTTGAGATGTTGAAACAATATTAAGTTTGTAGTGAATCAACTCAAACTCAAGTGAGACAATGTCGTGATCAGTGAAATATGCAAGATAAAACTTTTGTGCAAGTTTACAAATATCTTCACTTCATAGATTCAGAACTCTCTTCACCACTTTGACGATTCACTTTCGAAAAAAATGACAAAATCAACTTCTTTCCTTTCTTGGCAATGCGTTCATTATTTTTTCTATAAAACATTTTCAATATTCGTGTAAATTAAAATACTTCTATAAAATTATAAAACTAATAAGGAAAAAACAATCGTCGTACATGAAACTAATAAGTATTCCCAATTTCAAAATTCAATTGAAATTAAAATTCTTTCCACACAATAAATAAATCTCCTCTAATCTTCAATTGTATAATAAATAAATCATTTTCTAATCTTTAATTCTATCTTTAATCATTATAATTTATAAATTTATAATAAATTAAACACTGTTTTATTATGCACCGAAAAAATCAATTAGTAATCAAATTGCTGAACTAACGGATTAACCCTAACACTAAAAGGCTAAAAATAATAACACACAATAACACAATCACAATTTATTAGATTAAAAATCTAAAAAACTTACCTGGAGCAGAGGAGCAGTGGAGCTGGAAGCACTGAGGCACAGCCCAGAGCCGGAGTCCAGAGAGGAAGCCGGAAGGACGGCCGACGACGCAGGTCGCAGGGCCCTAGACGAGCGGCGTGGACGGCCGTGGCTTTGTGTTCCCTTCTTCGTCGCAACTCGCAAGCGCTGAATCTCCGTCTTCTTTGGCTTCGAATTTCTTTCTTCGTAACCGGCGAGTTGGCAAGCGCAGAACGCAGCTAACTTCAATTAGTCTGCTGTGGGCCGGCCTGGGAATTAATTTTCAGGTGGGACGGAAATAAAAGGAGAGAATTTCCTCAAAAAGTTTTAGAAATTATAAAATAGGACTATAATGTTTTTTATTCCTTGAATATGAGTAAATTTCTGTCATGTTTGGCATTACTAGGCTTTAAAACATGGCATTTTTTTCAAACTTGGCAGATTATTCCTATTCTGGGAATAAAAAACATGATATTCCTATTTTGGAACTTCAAAACGTTTTTGCTCCTATTTAGAGCAATTTCTAAAATAGATTTTGGAGTGGGCGGATAATAAAATCTATACATATACTCCCTCCGTATCTAATTAGATGACCCATTTGCTTTTCCCGGAGTTTAAGATAATTACTGTAGATTTTATAAAAAGTAAGAGATTTTTTGTACTGTAGTGGTACTGTAGCTGTTTTTTGAGTGAGATTCTTTCCAAAAAAGGAAAGGAGACAATTAATTTGATACACCAAAAAAGGAAAGTGTGACAAGTAAATATATATGGAGGGAGTATTAATAAAAAATAAAAAAAGTTGGATTGGGGTGGAGCTCATCTCTGTCCTCACAATCATATGTGATGGATAGTGTACCCGGGGGTAGCTTATCTGGGGGGTTATTGCGGGGAATAACAAGAGAGAAGTCAGAGCAAGTAAGTATAGAGAGAGAAAGTGTATTTAGAAAGTATGCAGCGTTTATGACTTGGTTACAAATGGGGAAATGGGGTGCTATTTATAGTAGCAATAAATGCCGGACAGGGACACGTGTCAAGCGCCCATTGGTCGAGAGGTCATCTCAACTGGTTGGCGCTGGCAGCCGCATGTGGCCGCATTTAATGCGGCTGTTGGATGGGACGTTTGTACAGGGTACGGTGATCTGTACGCATGTGGCACGGATATTATGTCGGGAGAGGTGCCCTCGGCTGCAGAGGACTAGCCGAGGGCTCTGAGTGCCGGGGACCCCCTGGGTGCCGAGGGCTTCAGGTGCCGAGGGCTACTGTTTTCTGCCGTTTTCTCCCAGTTTCTTAGTTTGCTTGAAAACCCGTTCTGTGAGAGTTTTGAGTCTTCGGCCAGGGGGCCGAAGGCTCCCCAGTGTGCGTTGTGGGCTGCTAAGTGCTTGGGGCGCCGTAATTTGGGGCCTGTTGTGCTTCCTGGGCCGGTTGGGCCTTTATTGGTGTAGTAGGAGTCTGTGGGCCGGGGGTTCCCGGGCCATATACTCCATCAGGAGTCCCTCACTCCTTTTGCCGAAAGGTACTGAGGGAAAAGGAGTAATTTGTGCTTGCCCTTTGATGTTGTCCCGTTGTAATCTCTGAAGTTGGTGAGGAGTCATTGCTTTCATGTCCCTGCCGAAGGCAGTCCCTCAGTTACCCACATGTCGGGACTTGAGGGATTGCTTTGCCGTTTGTTGGAATTTTTCACCATTTTGTAATTTAATGATTTTCCCAAGGGGGTCCTCCAGTCCCCCACTCCTTGAGGCACTTGTGAAGTGGTGAAAAGGAGTAGAGTAGTTGCGCTGCTTTTGTGGGCCGAAGGTTGACGCTTTTTGTTTCATTTTGGGGGGATGCCTCGTTAAAAACCTCATTAGGAAAAACCCTGGGGGAAAAAATCCTAATGAGGGAAAAAGAGTGCACCGAATTCCCCCAACGATGAGTCGAAAATGTGAAACATTGGTCAAAAATGGAGAATAATGGTAATGCCGAAGGCTCTCCTTGTTCTGAGGGCTCATGTGTTGAGTGGCCGGAGGCTTGCTGTTGATGTCCTGGGAGGTGCCGAAGGGGAGCCACTCGATCTGGGGATCGAGGGCGTGATGGATGAGGGCAGTAGTTGAATTGTTACCGGGGCGTCCCCTGCTTGTTGATTAGTTGGTGAGGAGGATATCCGAGGGCTCCCATTACCTGTGTGTCGTAGGCTATCCGTCAATGAGGCATACTCCCCGGGGGCTACTCGGCCCTTACAGTGCTGAGGGGGTATCCCCGAGGGGTGGCCTGATATGAAGCCTTGGGCTTCTGAAGGAGTGATCCCGAAGGCGTCTGTTATGTACTGTGTGGGGCACAACTCGGAGGCGTCTCTGGGTAAGTGTAACCGGAGGCTCTCCTTGATGAAGTGGAGTGAAGTAAAAAGCCTGGGGGCTTCCAGAATATAGCCGTTGGAAATATAGCCGTTGGAATATGTAACGTCGGGATATAGCCGTTGGGGGGAAGTACACGTGGCGCGTGATGGATGGCTGCCAGTGGGCGGCGTCACCGGTTGGGCGAAAACACGGCGTGTAATGATGACAGTCCATCCGGAGGCCCGGTTTCCAGGCCCAAGCCCGGATTCCAGCGCCTATAAATACCCCATGGCCGGCTTCCTTCCCCCTGTGCGAAATCCTTATAGCGAAGCTCTGCCAAAATTTCTAAAGAGAGAAACAGCAGCCCTCGATCAATCCTCAGTTCTCAAGGTCAGTTCTCCCCTGCTCTTCTCCTTCTAATTAGCTGTGCCTTGTGCCCTTAGGCTAGGAGATAGAATTCTCTAGAAAACCTTAGTTCTTCCGAGCCCTCGATCTAGTGAATAGATGTCTTCACAAAGCGACTCCCAGGATATCTCGGGGGAGCCCTCGGTCGAGATGGAGATGTGCTCAGATGTGGAGTCCTCGAGCGTGGAGTCCTCGAGGGGTGATGATGCTGCAGTGGCCATGGAAGTGGAGAAGGACCTCCAGGCCGAAGTCGAAGCTGAAGGCTTCGAGCAGGAAAACGAGGACGAAGAGCTCGCCCTCGCCGTGCAAACCGCCGAAGAAGAAGAGGAGAGGGAGAGGATGAAGGTGACGGTCGCCATTCCCCCCCCCCCCCCCCGTGGTGCCGGGGATGCTAGCTCCTCCCAGCCATTGGACCCGACGCCCATAAGTGTGGCTCCCGGGAAGAAAAAGAAGACGAAAACTGCACCCAAGAAGAAAATTGTTGCTGCAAACCAGGGGAAACCCATAGACATGCCCGAGGGGTATTCCTGGCTCAATACTGCTGCCCTGGAGATTGGGTCGAAGGCTGATAGGGAGGACATGTATGTGACCCAGCTGCACGTGGGGCCCTCGGCTGTGGTGGTGGCGCCGGGCCCAGACGACGTTCTTTCCCGGGCCCCTGAGGGGTGCATTGCTGTGCACGTCCTGTCGGTGTCAATGGGGCTTCGGTTCCCCTTGCACCCATTCCTTGGGGAATACCTCCGGTACGTGGGCTTGGTCCCCTGCCAGCTGACGCCCAACAGCCACTCCTACGTGGCGGGCTTTCTGAACCTCTGCCGTGCCCGAGGGGTGACTCCCAGCCTGGATCTGTTTTTCCAGAGCTTCAACCTCTGTCGAGGGGGTCACGCGAACGCCGAGGGGTTCGCCAATCTGCAACAGGTGGCTCGGTGGAAGTTATTCATGGAAGCGCCCTCGTCCAACAAAGGCTGGAAGGAGAAGTGGTGTTACGTCAGGATCGCCGAGAGCCCGTTCCCGATGGAGCTTAGGGATCGCTTCTGTCGGCATCCCAAAGTTGGAAGTGTTGCTTTGGAGAAGGATGGCTCGATAATAGCCAAGATCCCGGCGGGCCGCACGAAGCAAGTGTCCATCAAGGACTTCACTGCTCACAAGGAACTCTTTGCCCTCGGCTTCCGCAGATATCGCTTCCTTGGTGAGACAGATGAGAAGTATCCTGTGCTGATAGGAGGTAGTCTCTGAGGGCTTCCCCCCTTTTTCATTTCTTGTACTTAGGATTTTCCCCTTTCCTTTTCTTCCGCTCTTTTCTCCTTCGGTCTAACCCATTTGTTTGTGTTTGCGGGAGTTAACATGGATGCTGGCAAACTCTTCGCCCTGAAGAAGAAGAAAGGCAAGTCCCAGACCCAAAAGAAGGACCCTTCGGTCCAACCGCCCGTGGGAACCTTCTTCCAAAAAGAGGTCTCGGAGCCCTCTGCTGCTGAGGGGGTCGTTGGTGTGGCGGAGGGGGCCACAAAGAAGAAGAAGGGGGGCAAGGTGGTTGAGCCTCGGGCCAAGAAGCAGCGGGGCACAGGGGGCACCGTCGCCAAGGATGCCCCCTTGGTGGTCATCGAGGACCGCCCCTCTCCGGACCGCCCCGGTTGATACTGCGGTGATGGCCCAATCCAATCCTCCCCTGAGAAGCCCTCCTCGGGAGATCCTGCAGCTCTCTCTGGCCCCGGGGGCTTCCGTTCTACACGGCTCGGCGGAGCTGAAAGCTTTCCTGAGGGGGATTACCTCAGTGATGGACAAGGCTGCCCTCTCCACTTACGATGACGAGGCCCTTGAGAACAGGATCCTCCAGTCTTCGCTAACTGTAAGTTTGCTCCCTTAGGTTTTGCGTTTTACTTTCAATGTTCTTTTCATGTTAATCTGATTCCTCCTTCTATTGTTCTTCAGGCTTGTGTAGCCCTCGGGGAGCACGCACGGAGGCTTGAGCAATGGCGCCTCCGGAAGGCGGAGCAGGACCGGGAGATGAAGGAGCTCGTCCTGAAGAACTCCGAGGTCGTGAAGCAGATGGCGATGCTGGAGGAAGATCTCCGGAAGGCTGCTGAGGGCAAAGCTGCAACGGAGGAAGCCAGGCAGGAGGCTGAGAGGGCAGCCAAGAAAGCTGCCGAGGAGGCGAAGATAGCTAAGGTCGAGGCCATCGCCAAAGCCCGGGAAGAAGTTGTCGCCGTATTCATGGCCGAGGGCCGGAAAGCCGAAGATAGGCGGCAGTGGGTGGCCTCGGTCATAGAGTCATCGGTAGACGAATGGGTGAATGGCCCCAGGGGAGATTGGATGGCGGAGAAGGGAGATAGTTACTACCAAGGGGGTGAATTCTTCACTCAGCACCTTGTGTATCGGCGGCTGGCCAGACACTTCCAAGTCTCCCTCGAGGAATTCGACCCCTCAGCGTATGGCCTTCCTCCTTTGCAGCCAGACGTGAGAAACCCCCTCCCCCCGGGCGAAGAGAGGCCCGTGATCCATGACTCCATGATGATGGGGGGATCCGGCGATGGTGATGCCGAGGACGCCATCGG